TATTTCCACGTCGCCGGCCGGACGTATCTGGTCTACGCCGATCGACTGTCCGGCTGGCCGTACATCTCCACCTGCCCGAGGACAGCATCGGCCGAGCACCTGACTCGGGAGCTGCGTGCGCTGTTCGCACAGACTGGAGTCCCGACGGTTCTCCGTACGGACGGCGGACCGCAATTCACGTCGGGAACTCTGCGCCGTTTCCTGACCCGATGGGAGGTGCGCCACGTCATCTCGTCGCCGCACTACCCGCGGTCAAACGGCCACGCCGAGGCGGCTGTCAAGGCAGCAAAGAAGCTCGTCATCACGGCCTCCACGGGCGGCCAGCTGGACGAGGAGCTGCTGAGCCGGGGCCTGCTGGAGCTGAGAAACACGCCGCGCGCGGACGGCCGATCACCGGCACAGGTGTTGTTCGGACACCCGATCCGGTCGGGCGTGCCCACGCACCACCGCGCGTTCGCGCCCGAGTGGCAGCGCGCCGCCGCCGAGTGCGAACTGAAAGCCGCTGTGACCCGGGGAGCGGTCACACGCCGCCACGACGCGACAGCGCGCCCGCTGTCGCAGCTCAACATCGGCAGCCGGGTCGACATCCAGGACACCGATACCGGCCGCTGGGACCGCCCCGGTGTCGTGGTGGGGATCGGCCGGCGCCGCACCTACCTGGTGAAGACGGGCAGCGGGCGGCTGTACTGGAGGAACCGGCGGTTCCTGCGGCCGTACCGACCACTGCTGGACACTGCAGCGCCACACGCCGCCGGTCCGCCCCGCACGACAGCAGCCGCGCCTGCCGCAGCCCCAGCAGCACTAGCGGAGACGATCTCTGCCGCCGCGGGAGCAGCACCGAGCTCGCCGCCGTCGCCGCAGGCCGCGCCGCGCCGCAGCGGCCGCGTGCACCAGCCCCCCAGGCGCCTGTCCGTGCGCTGGGGTGGCGCCACGTACTGCCAGTAGTGGCCTTGTGCGCCCAGACCCGGGACGGTCTGTTTTGGGATGGCGCTAGTGAAGACGATGTGATCGTCTTGGGGGGAGATGTTGTGTTGCGATCCAGCCCCCGCACGGCTGCTGGCCGTGCCTGCGCGCGCCTCTGCCGCTCACACCGCTGGCCGCCCCAGCTCGGCGCCTGCAAGCGCCTCTGCCGCCGCCAGCTGACGGTGCGCGCCGAGCGGCACGGCTGGCGCGGGTGACGAGGGGCGGCGCACGCCATACTTGTTGTCTTTTATGTATAATCTCGGCCTCGCTCGGATCACGGTCCAATAAATCGCGTTACTCATTATTCCTCTCTCACTCTGAACCGACGAACAGAAACATAACAGTACCCAGTGCCGCTGCGAAGCCTGTAAGTCCGCCGAGCTGACATGGTCCCTTTACTAGCCCAATAAGGCCGGCGCGGGCTCTGCCGTGATCCGGAGGGACTCCCGACTGGGGGCACTGGGGACGGCGACGGCAGACAGCGGGGGGCCGGACGTGCCTCCCGTGCCTCCCGTGCCTCCCGTGCCCGGCGCCCCAGCCACCGGGCGGGCCGGAGGCCGCTCCACAGGGAGATGCCCGCCACCACCCGCCGCGACCGCCCGCTCCGTCAGCTAGCCGAGCACCTGGCCGGCCGCCAGTCCAACCCGCTGCCCCTTCCTCCGCCGATAGCCAAAGCTCCCACACTGCTTGTCTTTGTTACATGATCTTATGTATTGCTTTCTCTGTCTTTTTTTACCTACTTTCATGTTTATTTTCCGCCATATTCGCGTTCCATGTTCTCCCACTCCTCTCTGTCTTTTGCCTTGTGTTTTCCCCTCCTCTCCCCTCTCTCTCTCTCTCCCTCCCCTCCCTCATCCGGTCTGTCTGGCTCCCATTCTCACCTGCCGCCGCCCGCCATTCCTGTGGTGACCGCCCTGACCTCGAGGCCGGGCCGGAGCCGGAGTCGGGGCCGGGGCCGGAGTCGGGGCCGGGGCCGGGGCCGGAGTCAGGGCCGGAGTCAGGGCCGGGGCCGGGGCCGGAGCCGGAGTCGGGGCCGGGGCCGGGGCCGGAGCCGGAGTCGGGGCCGGGGCCGGGGCCGGAGTCAGGGCCGGAGTCAGGGCCGGAGTCAGGGCCGGGGCCGGAGTCAGGGCCAGAGTCAGCCGGCGAAGTCGGGACCGGAGTCGGAGTCGGAGTCGAAGCGGCCATCGGGCCGGTGAAACCCGCTATGCCATGCAGTGCTGCCGTGCAAGTTTCGAGTTCACGGGATCGGCGATGGTCTTAACCCTCCCCAGGCGACGGCCTTTTCCATAACGCGGACGGCGAGGGGGTAGGTTGGTACGACCCCCCCCCTCGCGATTGACTCCTATGGCACTTAAAAACGCCAAATTTACAAGGTAGGTGGGTCCATATGAGATCTCGCCCCTGTGAAAGTTTGGTGACTCTAAGTCAATATTTAGGGGGGGTTTTGGGGGTATAAGTGCAAAAATTTTGCTAAAACATGTCAAACGTTTCTCGCTTATAACTTCTTACCTATAGTAAAGATAGAGAAAAAATTAAAGCACCAGTGAACTCAGGACGTCCGTGCGCATCGAATGATATACTATGTTACCAATTTAAGTGAACCCTGGAATTCAGTTGCCGCTAAGCTAGTCAAATTTTCCCCTGACCTTGTACCGGTTTTTGTGACCTGGTGACCTGACCTGAAAAGACTGGGACTTCAAATTTTCAGGAAAGGTGCGAAAAGGCTGCCCCAGAGGGTGCAGCAAACAAACAATACAAACTATCGTCAACTTCAGAAATCGTTAATCCCGCAGATCACGTTTTGATCTTTTGTTATTCAGACCGGAATCCACTACGATGAGTACGAAGTCATTACTCATCATAGCCCACGGTCATCTGGCCCTGCCATTGCGAACTCAACGCCCCGGGTGTTCTGAGGAAGCGGCAGATCGCGGTCAATCGGCCCGACTGTAGTGCGCCCCACCCTATCAGACGGCACAGACAGCCCACTTCACCACGCTTCGAGAGCCTCCGACCCGGATGTCCCTGGCTCTGCCCTCTCCGGGCTCTGCCCTCTCACCGGGCCGCTCCCGGTGACAGCGCCCGGGGCAGGGGTCACACAAAGGTCACGAGCCGCGCGCCCGGCCGCTGTGACCCGGGTGCCGGGGTCGGACAGGAACGTGACCTGTCCAAGGGGCGTCCCCGGCTGCTGCGTCACCAGGTCCGGGGGCGGCGCAGGCCGGACCGAGCAGCCCGGCCCTCCACTTCAGCCGACATCGCACACTGACCGGCGAGCGTTCCTCGAACCAGGCGGACCCGGGAGTGCAGCTATGGGACGACCTCATTCCCAGAGCACGGACAACACAGAACAGCCAGCCAATGTCGCCCCTACTTCGTACTCACATCCGAGCAGCATGCCTGCACATTGCACGGTTATAAGCACAAACACCAGCCTTTTAGAGCTGCTGACTGCGCCGCGGACCTCAGTTACTTCCATCCGCCGCCGGGCTGCCAGAGACAGTAGGCCTTCCCTGAACGCCGCCGGGCTGCCAGAGACAGTAGGCATTCTCTGAACGCCGCCGGGCTGCCAGAGACAGTAGGCATTCTCTGAACGCCGCCGGGCTGCCAGAGACAGTAGGCCTTCCCTGAACGCCGCCGGGCTGCCAGAGACAGTAGGCATTCTCTGAACGCCGCCGGGCTGCCAGAGACAGTTGGCTCTCTCTGAACGCCGCCGAGGCTGTCCCGTGGTGCTCTATACGGAAGCCGAGACCCTCTATGGAATGGAGGCCAGCCAAGGCCGCTGCCGACTGCCATTCCGAGTTCCGGGAACGATAGCCTTCCACCGGACCCGGCCGCCAGCCGAGAGCAAACGTTTCAGCAGTCTGCAGTATACCCAGCTTCAGGTGGAAGCTTTATAGCAAAGGCTCTACGCTCCCAAAGACTTTCGAGATTTAGTGTCCAATGTCCATCGGTCCTTCTCGGAATGCTGCCGTGTTTGGTAAATACATTAGGTTTGTAAAAAGCGCAGCCGGCATGGCAGGTTCTTTCAGTGACGTCATCGCTCTCGCAGGCGGGCTCGAAGGCCAGCCTCCGGTTCAGGCTGCACACACAGCACAGTGCAGATTCCACCGTTTGGACGGATTCACCGGTGCATTCACAGACAACCACACATTTATCATATTCAGAAAAGAATGAATGCAAATATGCATGGCAGATGAATGCACGGTTTCCGATAGTTGATGATGCAGCCAGATTGAAAATGTAAAAGGCCTCTTCGCACATGGAGCAGCAGCCATTTTGTGGACGCGTATCCCAGTATATGCTGCAGCCGTCGGCACGGTCGACAGATCCAGGGTATCCAGGGCACCCCAGCTGAAATATTGTTCGAAATCATAGCCTCAGTCCGGGCCGAGCTTCAGCTGACCAACAGACAGCATAATGAGAAAATCATGGAAAATCACTTTCAGATTTTTGAATGTGATTTAACCCTCGCCCGGCGAGGGAGGGGGTTGATGCAACCCCCCAAGGTTTTTCGCAAATAATGTAAAAACGGCGGCGCGTAGCGCCGCCAAATTTGGCATAAATTGTTGACGAATGAAGACTTGTAGGAATTGACATCCTCTATGTAGTGCGTTTGTACGAGGTTCGATCCAGCATATTGCTTACAGTCTTCATAAACTGTATCGAGATCTGGGGGTGGCGTAGGTAATTTGGGTGTTTTTGCAATTGATTGGGGTACAAACCCTCCATGGTCAGTGCTCACTACTCAGGCTCAAAGAAGGTTGCCGATATTTGCTCCAATTGTCTGCCTTTCACATGGGGAACATAAACGGTGTTGTTACTCATGTGTAACCGAAAGCAGTGATAGTGAACAATGAACAAGAATTTATTGCGAGACCTTTCCTGTGTTCCTAGGATTATCTTTTTTATCTTTCATCTGTCTACATCGCAATGGAATATCGATGGATCAAAAGTTTCCCCTTTCTCGTAGCCGTGAGACAGGCGTGTTGTTTGTATCTCGCCTGGTTGTCTGACGCCCGACCCTTTCTCACCGCCAGGCTACCTGCTGACCAAAACGGAGAACAAGATCGGCTCGCCGGAGAAGCCGCTCTCCGACCTGGGTCTGATCTCGTACCGCAGCTACTGGAAGGACGCCCTGCTGCGCTACTTCGCCGACTTCCGCGGCAAGGTGGTCAGCATCAAAGGTAAGGAGTAAGAACGGCCGCTCGGTCAGACCTGGTTCAGCCGGACCAACACGCTGGTGATCTGAGGGTGGCCCAGCCCGGCCCGGCCCGCAGTTGTGGGGTTAGGGAACAGCTTCAACGCTGTCTTCCAGAGACTGCTGGGAGGACCCGGGGTCCCGCCTCATGAGCCGCTGGCCGACAGCGCTCGACTGCTGACTGCTGATGCTGAGTGGAGAGACTGCAGACTGCAGAGCCTTGCGCTGACCGGCAGCGCCCCTGGCGGCGCCGCGCCGGCGGGAAGCTCCTGTGACCGTTTTCGGGGATGAGTCTCGGCTGCTGCCCTCCCTCCCTCCCCCTCTCCCGCCGGGGTGGGGCGTCGCCTCCAGACGGGATCGATGCTCTGCCGCCCAGGGCGGGGGCGGCGGCGGCGGCGGCCACCGCCCAGGGCGGCGCCACGCTGGCTGTCTCTGGCCGTCTGCAGCCGGGCGGAGGGTGCGGCCCGGCCCGCCCCCTCCCCTCCCACCGCGCGCCGCGCCAGGTCGCCGAGGTCACGAACGGCCGCCTCTGGGCGGCCCTGTCTGGCCAGGTGTGTGCCGGGCGACGGTTATCGGCCGGGGTCGCTAACGGCTGCCCCCTCCCCCCCCGGTCACGGAATGTGGGAGCACCAACGGTCTCGACACCCACATCCTGCTCCGTGATCAGTCACTGACAACGGCCTCCACAGTCCACGTGGTTCAGTGTAGGGGGGCACGTAGGGCTCGGGCCTGCTTACCGTCTTGGGGTGAATTGGTTTTCATTGTGGAAACAGTTTTTAATTATTCATTCGGTATACTTTTCTCGAAACACTTATCCTTTTCAGAGCTCTAGTCGAATAGGGAATAGAGAATGTTTTGGAGGGTAAAAGCATTTGGAAGAATATCTACACATAAGGTAGAAAGTGCCTAATCGCTTGATGGACCCTTAAAGGGACAGTATCATCGAAAAAAAACAATGTATGGAGCTGATTTTTTTTTACTAGCATTTCTTATTTTTCTGAATCAGAAAAACATAGTTTGAGGACCGAACTCGGTGAAAAATATTTTTTTCATGAGCGAGTCATTTTCATGAGCGAACCACCACTACAAGCATGGCCGCCACTTTGGAAGCCTGCGAAATTACTACAGAACTGGCGCAGATAATACCTACATTATTGACGCTACGCTTACGCGGCCGCTCTTCTGATTGAGTTGTCGTTGAGATCGAGACTGATCAGATGACGTCATACATATACGTCATACATTGGAGGGAGATTGTGATTCAAGCTTGAGGAATTCCTTTGTTGAGCCGCTAGAATCCGAAGGAAACGGCGGAAATTGCCTACGACTATTTAATGAATTTAACGGTGATGAATAAGTGCGAAAAACGTTTTGGCTTTATAAAATTTGATGAAATGACCAGGGTAAAAGTTTTATTACTGGCGGTCAATTCAAAACGGCGCAAACATTTAAACAGTGAAGATAGTGAAGCACGATTCAAAGTGTAGTACACCTTTCGTACTTTGAGCGGCGATAGCGGGATAACGGTGTGGAGCTTCGAGGATCGGTCTTCAGTTCCCGGACCAGAAAGGTGGGGCCTATGTAATGTCAAATTTCATCAAAATGGTGATACTGTCCCTTTAAAAGAAAAAACATGCAATATTTCCGATTGTAGTTGCCGTTCCCGGTGTCTACAGGGGCCAGGGTATACTGCCTACATTTCTTATAGCGGTAGGTACTGTTAAATGGGCTTCCCTTCTGATAAATTCGTCGTGATGTCAGCGTCGGATATACGTTGTCGCACGAAGAAATTATTGTCCTCATTTTTTCCGCCTGGGTCGTTGATGTCTTCCATTCCACACTTCTTCCCATCAACGCACGTTACCGGCAAAGTCTCAAAAATATATGTTTCCCTTCCCCGCTGCATCTCCTGCATATCACCCCCCCCCCCTCACATCCGGCGTCCGCGGCGCGGCCGCCCGGACGGGACGCACTCCTCTGAGCTGACGTCAGCCGGTCTGGCGAGGGTGGCGGGGGGGGGGGGGGCGCCTCACACGCACCGCTGCTGGGGTCAGAGGTCAACTAGGGAGTGCCGCGCGCCGCCGGAACCAGCGCACGCTGGGCCAGCCGCCCGGAAAAGCGCTGGAATTTATTTGTGACTGAATTGCTGGTCTCAGTGGCAAGCAAACATGCTATATACAAAGTTAGTCTGCTTAACTCATGATGCTGATGTAGTAACACGAAGTATCGCCTAATGCAAGCATGCAGCTGCATAAGCGATGTGTATGGTGTGAGGTAGAACGGGTCCCTATTCGAGCTGTCTAAACAGCGGCTAACTTGGGTTCGTTGTAAAACTACTTGCTGATTTCAAACACATAGGCATGCATATATACCTACATACACATTTGGCTGGTAAGATGTGTATTGTGTATATATGCATGCATATACATGTACGTACATACATGAATGCACACAAAGAGAGTGGGAGAAAGAGACAGAGAAAAAGATTGAGAGCATGAGAGAGGGAGAAAGAGAGAGAGAGAGAGAGAGAGAGAGAGGAAGGGAGGGAGAGAGAGAGGAAGGGAGGGAGAGAGAGAGGGAGGGAGGGAGAGAGAGGGAGAGAGAAAGAGAGAGAGGAAGGGAGGGAGAGAGAGAGAGGAAGGGAGAGAGAGAGGAAGGGAGGGAGAGAGGATGGGAGAGAGAGAGGAAGGGAGAGAGAGACGAGAGAGAGAGAGAGAGAGAGGAAGGGAGAGAGAGAGAGTGAGAGAGAGAGAGAGAAAGAGAGAGAGAGAGTAAGTAAGTACCTGTATCGTTACGTACCTAAGTTGGGAATGCTTTGCTGCTTGGTCAGGTCACAGCAGGCGCCGTGCGATCCTGAGCGGTAGGGTGGCATAGCAGCTATATCAGGTGACTTAGCAGACGATATCTCGAAAAGTAGCAGTAATAGGCAATAATCGTCAATAGGGCATGGCAGACAATTGACTAGTTGTTTGTATGACATGCTCATCTTTAGCGGCTCGAAATAACATTTCTCAAAAAGTCTAACTAAAGAGCAAGTTGTTGTTGATTATCACTGACTTGTATTTGGGGGTTCATAATGACTTAATTATTGACTTTGGCCCAAAAATTTTGACAGCATTGTGTGCGTTGATCAATTCTGAGCTCAGGGACATATATTTTATTCATATTATAAGCATTCGTTTTTCATAAATTTCAGCGCTTTAAAGAGCGCCGGGCCGTCAGTAGAGCGGCGAGGTGACAATTGCCCCTACAGCATGTGGTTTACTGGCGCATATCTCGAAAAGTAGCAGGGAAAAGCAGCAAAGCACCTATATGGAACAAAAGATGAGTAATCAGAGGCTAGTATAAGATGTTTATTTTTAGCCGCTCGAAGTAACGCTTTTATAAAAGTCTATTTAAAAATTTAGATATGATTTTTATTTAGGTCTTGCAGCTGCTTACAAAAAGCTAGCTTATCTTGCAGAAAAGCGATGCAATATGTAAGAATGTTGTTGGTACAGTGAACAACAGTGCCCTGAACTAGTCTGACAGAAAATTGCGTTCAAAACGACAACTGGTCATCTAATAAATATCAACTAAAGATTAGCATTAAAATCGGCAAATGTGGTGGCCACTAGCGAGTCTAAATAGTCTTGTGTTTGGTGACAACTGACCACCTCAATTTCGACCTTAGGGCAAAAATGGCATCAGAATCGTATGCTTTGATCAATTTGGGATTGAATGATACATGTTTTGTTCATATTGTGGAAAGTCACTCTTGGGGGTATTTTTAGCGCTTTTCCGGCCCGCCGGCCTAGCGTGCAGCGGGTCCTGGCCGGCCGGCCGCCGCAGCTGCACGGCGAACTGAGCAGTGTTCAGTTTCGTAGGTGAGGCGTATTTACTTGCAGTACTGACCGACACCAAACTTAACTTGATAGATAGAATACATTTTATTGCCGGTACACTGCCACTGCGCATGTGTTTGGTGCATCAGCAATCTCTAAATGCCTTAAAACCTAAATACAAAAATATAAATCAATAGGTCCGGCGAGGGTAAAAAAGGCTTATACAATTTCCAAATTTTAGGTTTCAAATTGGACTTTTTCCACGTGCTCCGTGTCCTCAATCTGAACCCTAAGATGAGACCGAACAGATCTACGACACGATTGCTGACGAAGATGTGTGAATACATATCGAAAGATCCAACGTGCTGACGAACTTTGTAGAGAAAGTCAATTTTAAACTTTTTTCGAACTCCACAGTATGTCTTCAAGCCAGGGTTACATTGACTTGTCGTTGTCAAGTCAAAAATATTGGTAGGCCTCAGGTCTTCCAGGCTGTACAACACAACACCATGCGTCCACTTTGCTCCATGTCTTTTCTTCCTCTCCTAACCTGCAGCCCACCTCTGACCATCCCAAATCTCTATATGTCTAACTAATTTCTGACTCAGGGTTACACGCCCCTGCGTGTCGGTCACAACTCTGACGGAAACCGTGACAGCCGGCAGCTGAACCCGTTTTGTTTTGTCAATGATCCACCCTACTCCGGTCCTCCAACCGGCGTGATTTGTGAGCCAGCCGGGCCCCTTATCATAACCCCTCACCACTGCGCTCTCACTCCCAGCCCTGGCGTTTCATTAGGTCGCCGAAATGAGGTTCCGTGTGTACCGGGCGACCGGAGCGGCCAATGAAGCGTGGTCCGCAGCGCATCGGGTCGCTCTGCATGTCTCGCTGCGTCACAGGCCCGGCCCGTGCTCCCGGAAGCCTGTGTGTTTGCTCGGTCGGGTCAGGGCTTCCTTCCAGTCTTCCGGGGGTAAGGGCTGCAATCACTCTGTGTCCGCGTGCATTGTCGCGGGAACCGCGCGGGGGGGGCAGTGGGGGCAGCTTGCCCCCACAACTCTGGGGCCGTGGGGGTGGTGCCCCCACAACTTTGAGACAGAATACCGCACTTTTTATGGAAATATTTTCTTTTTTGTTGAAAAAGTCAAGGGATGAAAAATAAGTG